AGTAGTAGTACTTATCCGATGTATGATACAGAGGCATCGGTCTCTCATCGGTTTTCAATGTATGCTCAATGGAAGACCTCGGTCTTGGGTTTTCCTCATCGGTTTTCAATGTATGTTCAGTGTAAGACCGACCAACCTAAAGCGTTTGGTGACGACATGTTCGGACAGTGCTCAAATGTCAAGTGTACAAGCGACCATAATTTCAAGTGCACAAGCGACCCAAATTTCAAGTGTACAAGCGACAGCTCGCCCATCCGGAGGAGGTGCGGCAAACGGTTCCGGAGCAGGTTCCGGAGAAGATTCCGGGGCAGGTTCCAGAGAAGGTTCGGGAGAAGGTTGCGGGAGAAGGTTCTGGAGAAGGTTCCGGAGCAGGTTCCAAAGCAGACAAGGCTCAGGAGGGCTTGGACAGCGAAGAGACTTTCTCAGTGGCGCTTCGTGCTGTTGGGGACTTTACTTGCGCTTATGCCACTGGCCCGCCCAACATATAACCATAAGTCGCGGCTACACCTGTCTTCCCAGAGACATAGAGACACAGAACCATAGAGACATAAAACACAGAGAAGTTGCTATCTACACGGGGTCCTTTTCTGATAGCAACTTGTCGCTGCCAACCAACTACCATACTAGCACCAATACATCCAATCAGACTTCTCTGAAAGGATGACTAGGACTAGGAGGATGGCAGGAACTATATGCCTCAGCATTGGTGTCACGAACCGTCATCCAAAAATATTGCATAGATCCGCGACTATAACCCGTCCTCAAACAGCAATCTCTTCACCCCACCATTGCTATCTACACGGGCCCCTTTTCTGATAGGCACTCGTCGCTGCCAACCAACTACCATACTAGGAGGATGGCAGGAACTATATGCCTCAGCATTGGTGTCACCAACCGTCATCCAAAAATATTGCATAGATCCGTGACTATAACCTTGAGAGCTTGACTCAATCGATGGGGCGCAGGACGTCCGAGGTTTTGGTGTGCACGCTTTAGGTTCGTACGCAACTAGCCTCATACCTTTGCGTGCGCGCAGACGTGTCTCACCGTTCCCAAGCAGCCCGTCCGGCGCAAAGTGCTCACTTCGTTCGCTCACAAAGCCTCCAGCCACTATATAGACTAGGGTATGTTTTACCTGCTTTGCCGGTCCAGTCAATACCATCTATATAGCTTCTTTAATTGAAGTCCAACAACGAATGTAAATTGCCCGGTCTCGCATGCTTGGCCAGGACATGTCGATATCCTTGCTTTTGAGAGCTTGACTCAAGCGATGGGGCGCAGGATGTCCAAGGTTTTGGTGTGCATGCGTTGAGTTCGTACCCAACTAGTCTCATACCTTTGCGTGCACGCTGACGTGTCTTTTTGTTTTCAGGGAGTTCCCAGAACCATCTTGCTGCCTGCGGAAGCGCGCGCAACGAGGATTCCGAAGCTCGAAACGGCTACATGGTTCCAGCCAATGGCCAAGCCGTGCATTGACTGTCGAGCCACCACTATGAACATAGCCGCACAGCCGTTGCTGCACAACCATTATTGAACCAAGCGTTTTACACGTCAGTATGGGACTTCCAGGGTTGGTGGATAAACTCCTGCGCTAGCTACTCTGGGACACGGTTTCGGCCAAGACTGCCCTGCTTCTTCCGCTATCTATCTATCAAACCAGCTCTATCTACCTATCTATCTATCTATCTATCTATGATCTATCGATCTATCTATCTATTCTGTATCTATCTAGCTGCACGGCTGCACGGCCAAGCCGCAACAACGTTCGGTGCACGTGGACGCCGCGAGAAGCATCCGCTCGACGGAGGAAACGGTACAAGTATAGTAGAGACTAGGATGGTTGCTCTGTACATGGGTGCCTGTCTCCACTCCAGTGCTCAATGCCCATTGTCCAAATAGCCTCCACAGCCCTTCGTCACGCTAATGATGCACTACTCGGCGTCCATTGCATCACTCGCATCACCACCCCCCCCACACCCCCTTTATTCACTTCGTTCGGTCTAAGAGCTGGCTTTCGTAATTAGATATAAACATACACTGCATAGAAATTAAATTGAAAAGAAGTATACCCAACATAAAAATTCAAGTGAATGAAAATTGAAATCGTAAATGACCTAGTTCTAATTCAGTTCTATATAACTGAATTCAAATTCAAGCCGAGATGTTAGTTCTATTTCAATTAAATTCGAATTCAGTTAGAAATGAATAAAAATCAAATTGGCGATTGAAACTAAACTTGAAATAGAAATCAGTTAGGTTCAAGTTTGAATTCAATCAAGTTCAAATTTTTGAAGTGTCATTTCAGAATATATTTAGATGTAAATAATAAGCACTTTAGAGTTCAATCGAATTAAATTAGATTTAGAAGGTTTATATTTTGATGAATTCAACTCACCGCTGGCTCAAAAATGAGCTAAAATTGTAGAACACTTTAAAAAATTGAATTAGATCTAAATTTGAGATCCACTGGAACTAAATGAAACTTCTATATTCAATCAAAAAATTTGACTATAGTTCAATTCAAATCAAAATCAACTTCAAAATTAAAAACAGGTTGCGCAAAAGCCCAAAGGACCAAAGCACAGGCAAAACCAAAAAACAAAAACAAAGCTTTGAGAAATCTTTGGTTCAGCCTCAAAAGGTAGTTTTCCTTGTGAAATCCAAAAGGTAGTCTTCGGTCCCCCCGAATGAGAAATTGAGTTACGCGAGAAATGTATTTTTTGCATTCCGCTATTTTTTGTAAGCCAAAAGGCCAAAAGCAAATTTGCCAAAGAGCCCTCGTCGACCAGTGAGTTTAGTGGGTTGATTCCCGTCCAAACTTCCAGTTGGATTTCTCATCAGACGTGACCCAGCTTTGAAGACCTCACTGGCAAGGCTGCCAAGAAAGACCCGAACCTTGAAGCACTTCAGGCCTTCAATATGTTGATATCACACCTCTTAACACAAGCCACACTCAACCTCCTCAGGCATTCAGGAGTGATCGCGCCCCATCTTCCATCCACACCCCCATCCACCCTCCATCTTCCATCCACAGCCGCCCCGTCCACGCCCGGCCACCCTCCCGTATCTCGCCCACCCCCTCCACGCCCGGCCACCCTCCCGTATTACGCCCTGCATCTGCCGTCCACACCCATCTTCCGCCCACGAAAATGCTTGTCTCGTCTCGCTCTGCCCCCACACTATCGACTAAACGAGATTCCAAGCATTGGAGATGCTTTTGGGAAAAGCACAAGTCTTTTTTGGATGTTGGACGTCAAAACCAAAAAAACAAAACACAATGAAAACCAAAAAAAACATCTTTTGAGGCTGAACCAAACATGTTATTTTTTATGTCTGTGTTTGTGTTTTTTTTGGTTTGGTTGGTTTTTTTTTGGGGGGGTACCATACATATACATATATATTATATATATATATGTCTTAATATTTTATGTTTGTGCTGCCTCCCCTTCCACCAACAAGAAGGAATGATGTGGCCCAACGCGCGCTGCTCTGAATGTGGTATGTTCTCTGCTCCTGAGTGCTGTTTCTTGGAAGAGACAGTGCCCGGATCGCCATCGCTCAAGTTCTGTAGACTTCGCCTGAGTCGGTGAAGGGCCCAATATCTGGGTGCTTTCACATCAACAAAGGTAGCAAGCACGCGTATCATGGCACATCATCTGCACGTGAATGAGAAGATGAGGTCTGAAAGCATGACATGATCTTTACCAAGAAGCACCATCCGCCGAAGCTGAAGCACCTTGGTTTACAGCAATCTTTGGTCAAGAGCATGACGCGCCGTTTGATTGCTCTTGACTTTATCCAGGCTGACCTGAAATGTCGTGCACATCGAATGCAACGACCATCCGTTGAATGCATCCCAAGGACATGTTGTTCGGTTCGAACGCGATCCTCACCCTTTGCAATCGCCTGCGGAAGCGATTGCGAACGGATCCGAAGGGCGCTCTTCGACGTCACATCCAACCAGCATGCAGCATGGAGCAGGCCAGGCTAAGGAAAAATCGTGTCTTGAGGAAGAGCATCACAAGGTGAGATACAGGCCCACTGTCCCACCCGTCTGTGTAATCCGCAAGTGACAAGGGAAGCATCATAAAGACTAGAAGACGATCCTATTATATATCTGATGCATTCATTCAGCAAAAATGACGGAGCTGACCCTTTTCTACATGTGTCGAAACTGCCCAGAAAGTAGAATTTCATGATGCTTAAAAGAACACCAAAACCAACACCTACCAGTCGATCAATGATTGAACCACATGCATCAAAGGTCAACACTCGGGCACGGCATGTAAGATTCACGGTCCTCCAGCTCCTCCACAGACTGTGAGGAGATCATCTGCCGAGCTGAAACAATGTGATATAATGTGATACTGTCATAGGTTAACCGCTCAGACCTAGATTGCATCTAGCTTCAAGGCTGAACCCTTCACTTTGCAGGTATCAGTCAATCATATGAAGTCTCATGACAAGGATGTTTAAGGTCACAACCACATGCTAGCGGTTTCTAAATAGCGAAGCGCTTCTCATCCCAGCAAAAAAACAGTCTTCCGTGTCTGGCCTCCCGCAACTCGTGTCTGGCAACTGGAAGTGAGGAGCTCCACGGGCAAAGCTCACTGCGATCAAGAGCCATGATATCCTGCTAGTAACAAGTGCATCGCTAGTAGTAACAAGTGCCTTACTAGTAGTAACAAGAAGCTATTAATTTACTTATTTACTACTAGCTTCTTGTTACTACTAGTAAGGCACTTGTTACTACTAGCGATGCACTTGTTACTGAAAGCCCAAGGGATCTGCCTGAGTCTACTTCAGATGTATGTCCCATTAGGTGTTCATGTTTGCCCACAGTGCATGGGATATGAAACGATGTCCAGCTCCAAGCCCCTGCACATCATGCTTTGTTTCAAGTGTTTGCGTAGTGATCTCCAACCCTGAGCCGCAAACATTTACACTGCTTTCAAAGGTCTGGGTAGTGACTCTTGAACCGCAAAAACCATGCTTGTCCAGTTGTGTGACCCCTCAGGTTGAATGAAAGTCGTCACATATCGTCTATATTCAATATAGAACAAAATTAAGATTCAATTGTTGAAACCTTCCGCACTCTCGTTGGAGGCCATCGCTCCTAGGTTGGAGGCCATCGCTAGTAGGTTGGAGGCCATGTGCTATTAGGTTGGAGGCCATCTCTCCTAGGTTTGAGGCCATCACTCTTAGGTTGGAGGCCATCGCTCTTAGGTTGGAGGCCATGTGCTATTAGGTTGGAGGCCATCTCTCCTAGGTTTGAGGCCATCACTCTTAGGTTGGAGGCCATCGCTCTTAGGTTGGAGGCCATCGCTAGTAGGTTGCATGCTCTTTTCTCCCTTCACCCATGCTTCTCCAAGGGGCACGGCCCTGCAGCGCAAAGGAGGCCATGCTCGCTGCCTCATGTAGGGCCAGGGTCTTCCAGGTGAAGGCTTCCACAGCTTCCAGAAAGGCCTCTGTCACGCTTCAAAAAAGGAAAAGCAACAAGTTGTCTTTTTGGAATGAAAAAAGTAGTAAAAGAAACAAACATGTCTTCGTCGCTTTGGGCTTTGTGGCTTCTACATGTGACACGTTTTGCAATAGTAGTGGCATTGATCGAAGCCAAGTCATGAACAAGACTAACAACTGCCAAAAAGGCATTACAAAAAACGAAACAAAACACACCATTGTTCTGGCTCTACTTTGCGTGTTCTTGGGATTTCTTTCAAAAGAACGCAAGCCACACGCGGTCACAGGCCGCTTCAAGGCTCCAATTCCGTGCGTATGTTCCTGTTTTGAATATGTTGTTTCCGTCGATTGTAGGCAACTGGCAAGACCGGCTTAAGAAGTGCAAGAAGAAGTGTCCTTCAAGTCTTCACCTCTGGTAATTATATGCATACATTGATACCTTAGTAAATGCAACTGTGTATCTGACTAAAGTTGCGCATGCCAAAGGCATCATGTGCAAAGGAGGATTGATGTGTAAATACCAGTGTATTTTCTGCATGCGTGCATGGATAAAACCCCTGAGACAGAGTATCGCGTGTTTACCTGGCGATTCTCCTTACACTGAGCGTTCACGGCACTGAGTCGCTTAGCACATGCGGAGCATTGCGGAGCGTATAGCGTGGGCGGTGAAGTGCAAAAAAGAGAAGGTTGCAAATAGTAGCGATGGCCTCCGTCCTAAGACTGATGCCCTCCATCCTAGAAGCGATGACCTCCAACCTGGAAGCGATGTTTGGCCTCTTGAATGAAGGCCCTCTTTAAAGGGTTCCCTTTTAAAGAGACCCAAACGCATTCTCCTTTGGGCTCTATTTTGAGCATGCTCCAAGAGACCCTTAGACTCCCCGCCTTTTCCAAAGAACTGTTGCGGCGCTCATCTTCCATGACAGCTCGTTGAAGTGTGAAGACGCAGTCTTCAACCTGGACACTAGAAAAAATGGCATCCTGAGCTTCACAACACAAACACGCGAATTTAAAGCAGTCCAGGATGTCGATGGCTTCGAAAGATATGTTTCGCCGCTTCATGTCGAGGCACAGCTTCAAAGGCCATGTTTCGCCGATGTACCGCATCCAAGCGCTGCTGCAAATCAAAAGACTTCTCCCACAAGGAGAGGACTTCCTGGAAGGGCGACTGCATCTCCTCAGTTCTCAGCCACCAAAGGGAACGACCAGAGAGGCTACTACAATGAGGTTGCTAATAGTGGCAATGGCCTCCAACCTTATAGCATACAATGTTGCAACAGGTTACCACAATGGATTATTTGTTCATACAAATCATGTTTGGTTGCTCTCACCAACCAATCATTTTCAGGATGCAACAAACTCCAATGCACAAGATATTAATGACATCGCTAGGAGTCCTGTATCCGTTGGAATGAGTATTAAGCGATTGCGGAGATTGCACAAGTTCAAGAATTGGTGGACTGTGTCGTGGCAATATGAGCAATGCTGCATTGCAAAGCATCCTTTGAAATCCTCCACTCATTGATGAATCTCTGAGTGGTTTTTTTAAATATGTTTACACTCATAGCAGAATTTGTCCAGCAGAGTCTTCTCTCTAAAGGCTCTTTTTCAGGAATGCAATCTTTCTGGTTTCTTTGTCGAGGTGCTGTCTGCACCGATGCTGCTTTGAAGCGCCCCATTGAACCTGGACACAATTTGGTGACAACAATCAGTATCCACTCACAGTAATCAACCCGTCTGGCTATATATACAATATCATGTCAATCATGTGAATCATATGTCTGTACCTCCAACCTGAGCCAAGCAGAACAGAAAAAGACTGCATCAAAAGGCCGGAGGCGCTGGCGCGTTGGTCTGGCGGTTCCTTCCCACGCTCCAAGTAGCGCAACTTCAATCTGTACATTTCGATCTGGCGCGGTCAACTTTCGAGGCTACCAGCCACAACTCATCAGCATATTGCAAAAGAGCTGAAGAGACTGCAGAAAAACATTCGAAAGCCAAAAGGGTCAAGAGACCTATGGCCATGTGGTTGTAGGACGATGGCCTCCAACCTAATAGCAATGGCCTCCTACTTACCTAATACCAATGGCCTCCAACCTAAAAGCGTTGTGTGAAATGATGTTGGTTTGCAAGGCTTTTGTGAAAATACAGCAAACAATGCATGGTATTTCAGACTGGCCCATGGCTGGCCTCTCGGATGTATTCCACACCTGAGCTGCGGTGTCTCTTTTTTCGATTTTGGCTCCACCAACACGCGCGAAAAAGCTCCTAGTAGCGTCCTTGCTCCTAGTAGTAAGGCCAGGAGCCCCTAGTAGCGTCCTTGCTCCTAGTAGCGATGCCCTTTGCTCCTAGTAGCGTCCGAAACTTCATTAAACCAACTTACTGCGAACGAGACTAACACATATAATGCAAGGAACACATGGGATCACACGTGAATAGGACGAGTTGGCTGGTGTAGCAGGATGGCTGCATGTGTATTGAAGTTCTGTGCCATGCTCTTTCAGGGGCTGTGCGCAATTCAAATCTGACACGCCAAGTACAAAGAATGCCTGGAGGCAAGGACGCTAGGGGCTCCTGGCATCGCTACTAAGAGCAAGAAGCTAGTAGGGGCTCCTGGCCTTACTACTGGAGCAAGGACGCTACTAGGGAAAATGAAATGTGGAGCAAAGAATGCCTGGAGGCAAGAGGTTCTTCGGTGTCGTGCAGGACTTGTCCCCGGCCATGTGGTTGTAGGTCATGGGTGCTCTGCAGGGTTCACGCTGTACAGGCCACAGTGGAGCAATGTCAGATTAGCGATGTACTTCTTTACATGTCAGATTTGGATGGAAGGCTCCAAGCTTAGTGGCGAAATATATAACAGCACTCGCCGCTCAAAGCCGTCCTAACTCATGGCTGAAATAGCCGGCACATTGCACTATCATGCTTCTCAAACCACTAGACATCACAATCATCACATCACCATTGCATTTCACCTCCGAATCACAACCTAGAGGCAATTATCTTTGTTCATGGAAACTTTCCCGTCCCGGCTCTGCTCGCAACAAGAAGCTACTAGTAACAAAGGGCATCGCTACTAGGAGCAAGGAGGCTACGAGTAGCTCCTGGCCTTACTACTAGGAACAAGAAGCTACTAGTATTGCAAATTGCATGCGTTTGCATCCTGAGCTCCTGGCGAATGGCCTGCAGCGTTGTCTCCCAGTTCTGTTTCTCCTCTTTGTCGCTTCGCAGGAAACTAGTCCGACTTTGAAGATCTTTGAAGAGCATCTCTAATAACCACCAGAGTTTTGCAACTTGCAAAGATCCATGTTTCCTCCTCTACCTGCTGGCAACGCCGCAGCTTCTCTTTCCACTCTGCTAGCCGTTGAAAGAGTAGGCCCTCCTAGGCTTGAAGCGAACGCGAAACACAGATGAGGATGAAAGGCTATGAAAGGCTTAACGCGCAACAACTTTAAGTTAACTACATATACATACAATTATATGTTATGTGCGTCAAGTAGCTTTCGTCGTTCCATCGTTCACCCAAGCTTCAAAAAGGCAAATGCATAATGGCTCCCCTTTTTATCTATTTTTTTGCTCAATCTGCCAAGCATCCAGCAGCAATTCTTGCCCAGAGCTCATTTCTCCCTCAGGGAGACGTGCTTCAGGCACAGCCATGAGTGACCGTTGGGACAGGAGCGAGCCAAACACAAACTATCACGTTTGAACTCCGAGCTACGCCGAGAACTCTTGATTTAGTAAAAAAGATTGGAGTGAAGAGGTCTTGGAAGTAGCACGCGTCACATCCACAAAAGGCCTGCCTCTTTCTCAACAGTCACCAGTCCCTTGGAGTGCAAAGCAGTGCGGAAGTCCGCAATGCAGGCCTTCAAGTCTTCCCCATCCTGGCCAGCACCACAAGTTAGGTCTCGGCCTGTTCATGTTGATTGAAAGGAATCTGGAGAGGCGTGAAGCTACAACAAAGAACTCCCAGCACTAAAGGCACGTAGAATCGACGTAGAACTTAAAGTTAAGTTTCCCAAAAAATCGCTATCCTGCGCCGAGTTACTAGTAGCTTACTCCGTCACTCAATTATGTAGGTGCCTAAAAGACTAACGTTTTTCGAAGCAATGGTCCTCTTTCGTCGGAGTCCGTCGGAGCCCGCCTCGATGTCGCCCAGTCGAACAACCCAAGAGCTCTGAATCCCGACCGCCGGACAGTTCAGCACCAGTGACAACGACGACGCCATGACGAGACTGCGTCTCTGCTTCTAATTTGAACGGGGCGAAGAAACTGCTCTGATTTCTTTGTTTTGTGCTTCAGCAATTCTGCCACAAGCTAGTGTCATTTGCTGTGGAAACCACCTGGATGAATTGGGTTTGACCATGAAAACATTGAAAGAACCTTCAGTGTGATGTCCTAGCTTCAAGTAAGTTATGTGCAATGCTGCTATGCTTTATGCCCACCACATTCATATGACTTGGATCCATGACTCAAGACCTTGCGGACACGACAGCCAAACACGCCGCGCTAGCAGTATGTTCTACAAATTGTCACTAGTCCTGAAATCTGCCCACAGTTGAACAGCTTTCCTCTTGACGAAGAATGGAAGACCGGGAGAAGGTTGCCGGAACTTTGGCAGTCATTTTGTGCTGAGGCTCGTCTGAACTGTGCAAAGCAAACAAAGCGCACAGTCATGTCAGGCTCAAAAACTTGTCAGGTTC